CTTTACCCTTCCTCATTATTCATTCATTAAAAATAGGTGAGTATATTATACATATAGCATTTCAAAGATATTGTTTATAATCCTTTGTAATCCTGTAGTCATCAGTAGAAGTATTCATGGGTCATAAATATGGCTTTAACGTGTGGTGGAATTATTTTATGTTTAATGAAGGTCTTATGGCTATATGAACCTGACTCTTTCTCATCATTGTTGAAGTGATGAATTTAAATTCACCTACCTCTGAAAATAAATAAAATCTGTATGACAATCTTGCAAAACTAAATTACCTACTGACTAATTAAACCCTTTTAGTTTAAATGGAAAATAGAACCATGCTGTGTTGAATTGTTGCTAGAAATAAAACCAATCTAACATTCATCTCATGTAAGAGTTAAAGTTTTCCCATTTTGGGACTCTGTGTTTTTAGTTTTCAGTTCTTAGTTATTCTGTTTTGTTCTTTGGTTTATTTTCCATTATCTTCATGCAGTCTTTAGTTATTCTCTGTTGCTCCCCTTGGCTTCCCTCTAGTTCACGGGTGGGCAACTCCAGTCCTGGAGGCCTGTATCCTGCAACTTTTAGATATGTCCTGGACCTAACGCACCTGAATCAAGTAAATAGATAATTAAAGGACTCTGGAGAAATTGATTGCATACTGGGGAGGTAATTCACACATTAGATTCAGGTGTGTGCCAAGGATGAATCTAAATGTTGCAGGAAACCGGCCTGCAAGGACTGGAGTTGCCCACCCCTGCTCTAGTTAGTACTACTCACACCTGCTCCATAATAAGCTCATTAGCCCATTCTTTGTTCTGTTCCCATTATACACACCTCCTCTGCAATTACTCAGTGCTGGTTCCTTGTTGTTGTTGTTAGTTGCTTCCTCCTAGCTGTTTTTTTTTTTTGGTTCTTTGTATTTTTGGATGTCTGCCACAACAACTCATCTCTGCTTCACTCATCTCTGCATTTGGGTCCTCAAGCAACCCCCATTGTTGACAGTAAGAGCCTTGCAGTATATCAGCAAAGCTTTTAAAGCAACTATTCCTTTGATTGATTGACTTTATTGATCTCACAGTGGAGAAATGTACTTGTTACATCAGCTCAAACAGTCAAAGACGAAGAAGCTGCCAAAGGAAGAAAATGGTGCATGCAATATATACAGTATATACAGTGTGTTCACATATGACAGCTTTTAAAAAATAAATTATTTTATAGTAGGATCATTATCCTGGGTTATTGCACAGGTGGTTTACGCAGGTATTTATATGGATAGATATTTATATATACAGTACTGCAGACTGCCACCTCTGACTGACAGCCATGATGCCGCACATACTGAGGGCGTGCAGTGAAGTAGGTAATAACATGTCCGTCAACCCCAGCATCCTCTAGCTTCTCTCTCAGCAGCTCTGGTCTCATGGTGTTGAAAGCGCTGGAAAATCAAAGAACATGACTCTCACTGTGATGCTGGTGGTTTCCAGGTGGCTTAAGGGAAAGCTTAAGAGATAACATGAAATCCAGTTGTTCCAACATAGTCAATAGATGATGGTGTGCGCTTCTGCACACTAACATTGAACATTGAGTATTTTTATCAAATTTACCCAAAGCTTCTTTGGTTGTGATTGATAAGAAATGTGTTGAAATATATATATATATATATATATATATATATATATATA